CCCTCTGCCGCACTAGCTGAGCGTCCCTTGGTGCATGCATCTGTGGCTTGGTGGCATGGCGGGCATGGCGTGATATGGCATGGTGGCGTGATATGGCACGGCATGGCATGGCACGGAATGGCATGGTGCGTGATATGCATGGCCTGGCATGGCATGGCATGGCAGGCGAGGAGGCGCTGATGTCGGATCTGCGAAAGGAGCTCAACATCTCAGACGACGTGCACCTTCTTCTACTCCCTTTGCTCACTCCCCTTTCATCTCTGCTACACGTCCTCTCATGCCCGCATGCGTGCTGATGATGTCATGGCATGACTTGACGTTGCATGGCATGGCATGTTGGCATGGCAGGCGAAGGAGGCGCTGATGTCGGATCTGCGCAAGGAGCTCAACATCTCGGACGACGTGCACCGCCTGCTGCTCGCGCGCGGTGCATGACGACAAAAACATCCGCCTCATCTGGTGGGTTGGTAGGGTAGGGTGGTAGGGTCGGCTGGTTGGTTGGTACGTTGAATAATGAGGCAGCTTAGAAGGCACATTTCGGGCGAGGTGCACCGTCTGTCTGCTGCTCGCACGCGAGTGCATGACGACAAGAACATCCGCCTCATCTGGTGGGTTGGTAGGTTAGCTCGGCTGGGTTTGGTCGTTTGATGGGGTTGGCTTGGCTGGTAGGGTGGGTTGGTGGGGCTGGTTGGGGCTGGTTGGCTTTGGCTGGTTGGCTTGGCTGGTTGGCTTGACTGGTTGGCTTGGCTGTTTGCTTGGCTGGTTGGCTTGGCTGGTTGGCTTGGCTGGTTTGGCTTGGCTGGTTGGCTTGGCTGGTTGGCCTGGCTGGTTGGCTTGGCTGGTTGGCTGGCTGGTTGGCTTGGCTGGTTGGCTTGGCTGGTTGGCTTGGCTGGTTGGCTTGGCTGGTTGGCTTGGCTGGTTGGCCTGGCTGGTTGGCTTGGCTGGTTGGCTTGGCTGGTTGGCCTGGCTGGTTGGCTTGGCTGGTTGGCTTGGCTGGTTGGCTTGGCTGGTTTGCTTGGCTGGTTGGCTTGGCTGGTTTGCTTGGCTGGTTGGCTTGGCTGGTTGGCTTTGGCTGGTTGGCCTGGCTGGTTGGCTTTCACGGCATTTAATAAGGCACATTCAGGACGGCGTGCACCCGCCACTGGTGCTTGTGCGCGTGCATGCATGGCGACAGGAACATCCGCCTCATCTGGTGCGTTTGTGTTTGGAAGGGTTGGTATTCACACTGTCTGCACTGTCACGCCCTCCGTTTTTGGCTGGTATCTGGGTTTCCTGTCGCTTCCAACATCATACCTCCCATATACGTCTTTCCCATCACATGAACACACCCCACCACCTCTTCACCCACCCTCCGCCCCTTTCCTGCCAACCCCCTCTCTCAACCCCCACCCGCTCTTTACACCCCCCACCCCTCTTTCCCCCCCACCCCTCTTTCTCCCCCCCACCCGTCTCCCCTCCCCTATTAGCCCCCTACCCCCTTCCCTCCCATCCCATCATCCCCACTTTCCCCCCGTTCCCCCATGCGCGCAGCAATTGAAAGACAGCCATATCTGCTGATTTGAGTCCACTAAAAAATGATTTCCCCTACTACTCCCCTTCCCCCCTGTTCCCCCCATCCCCGCAGCAATTGGAAGACGGCGAGGGATGCGGGGGCATATGTGCACCACCCGCCTCCCCCTCCCCCCGCGGCCCGCGCCTCCCCCAGTTGCACCCGCCCCCGAGCTCATCCCCCCAGCCTCCTCCCGCAAGCGGCCAAAAATGGCCGCCCTTTCTGCCGCGCCGTTGGGGAAGGGCGTGGGGGCGGTGGGGGGGGTTGGGGGAGTGGGGGCGGGGGTGGGTGCGCCGTTTGCAGTAACACCTGTTGAAGCTGTTGGGTCGGGGCGGAGAGGGGGGAAGGGGAAGGGCCGACGCGGACGATGGGTGAGTAGCTTTTAGTTCTGCGGTGCTCTTCTGTGAGGATAGTTGAGTGAGTGGGTGGGTGAGTGAGGGGGGCGGGCGGTGGGTGCGCCGTTTGCAGTGGCGCCTGTGGGAGGCTGCGGGGTAGGGCGGAGAGGGGAGAAGGGCAAGGGGCGACGCGGAAGAATGGGTGAGTGATTGTGGGCGATGAGTATGGGGGAATGATGGCTGCATTGCCAACGTCAATATCCACCCAGAATACTTACATCACCCAACTTATCCGTCTCCCCACTCTTTCCCAACTTCCGATTCCTTTTTCCCTCAGACCGTCTTCTCAGTTACCCTGCTGTCCGCCCCCTTCCCGCTCCCCTCTTCCATCTCTCTCCGTTTCCTCGCTCCATCCCTCCTCCTTCCCCCCGCCGATATCCCCCCATCCTTCATCACCCTTCCTCCCTTCCCCCCCCCCCCCCCCCCCCCCCCCCGTCATTTCCCATTGACTCCCGCTCCCCCCTCCGCCCCTTCAGTCCGCGGGTGCGCCGGGGGGAGCAGGGCGGGGCGCAGGGGCGGGAGGATTGGCCAAGCAGCACAGGGGCACTGGGGGGATAGCCATAGACCCGCTCATAGGCCGGCGGGTGAAGACGCGGTGGGTCGAGGGAGGGAGGCGGTTCACGATTCTATGAGGCGGTGATCACGGATGTGCGGCCAGAGGATGGCATGTACTCGCTGGTGTACGAATTGAACACACCGAACGAGAGCTTCGAATGGGTCGACCTGAATATGGTGAGGAGTAGGGGAGGTGGGTGGGTGGGTATGGAATGGACTAAGGCGGGTGAGAACTGCTGTTCTGCTGGCTGTGGGAAGGGTTGCGGGTCTAATGAGGCGGTGATCACGGACGTGAGGCCGGAGGATGGGATGTACTTGCTGGTGTATGAGCTCAACACGCCCAATGAGAGCTTCGAATGGGTCGACCTGAATATGGTGGGTTGAGTTCGGTTCAGTTGGGTAGGGTTGGGTTGGAACGGGTTGGGTTTGTAAGTTGCAGCGTGTTTTTGAGTGCTCTTAAGGCCGCCTGGAAGATGGTATGTACTCGCTGGTGTATGAGCTACGCCAAATGAGAGCTTCGAATGGGTCGACCTGAATATGGTGGTTGAGTTCAGTACGGTTCGGTTGGGATGGGTTGGGTTGGGTTGTGAGTTACAGGGGGGTCTATGAGGCAGTGATAACAGACGTGAGGCCGGAAGATGGGATGCATTCGCTGGTGTACTCCTCTCATTCCCCCAGACTCAAAGGAAGACATCACGAGGTAACTTTTGAGTCGACTCATAAGTCAGAAGATGGGATGTATTCACCGGTGTACTCCTCTCACAATCTCATTCCCCCAGAACCAAAGGAAGGAAGACATAGTTTGTGTGCAAGGCCCCCGTCTGTGATTGTCTTGATTTCATCTGCCCACCCACGTTCACCCCTCTTCCCCCGCTCCCATCCCACATCTGCGTTTACTTGCCAGATTCAAAACTGACTCTCTGCCTCTCCCACATCTCCTCTCACTCCCCTTCAGATTCCAAAGGAGGACATCATATGGGTGGAGCCCCCCCACTTTGTGCTTGACTTTATTTCAATCTGTCCACCACCCACTTTCCCCTCTCTTCCCCTGCTCCCACCCCACCCCCCACCACCCCCCAGATTCCAAAAGAGGACATGATATGGGTGGAGGGGGCCCCCCAGTGCTCGACTTTCATCGCCCACCCGCCCTCCCTTTTCCTCATTCGTACTTTCTCTCACCTTCTCGCTTCCCTCTCCCCCCCTCACCCCTTCAGACCCCAAACGACGACATCATATGGGTGGAGGGGCCCCCCAGTTTGTGCTTGACTTGATTTCATCTGCCCACCTCCCACTTTCCCCTCTCTTCCCTCGCTCCCCACATCTCCTTTCACCCCCTTTAGATTCCAAAGGAGGACATCATATGGGTGGAGGGCCCCCCAGTACCCGACTTAACTGCACTCCTGCCCCCCCTCTCCCCACCTGCCCTGCACCTCTTCTCACCCCTTCAGATCCCGAAAGAAGACATCATATGGGTCGAGGGCCCCCCAGTACTCGATTTATCCGCCCACCCGCCCTCCCCCTAGCCGCCACCGCCGCTGCTGCTACCCGCCCCTGCTGCTGCCCCCCGCTGCTCTTATGGCTGCTGGGGTGGATAAAGACGGCAAGAAGGCAGCAGCAGCAGCAGCAGCAACAGCAGCAGCGGCAGCAGCCGCAGCACGAATGGCCATGCTGTCCCTGCTGCCGCTGCAACCTCGTGCACTGGGGAAAACAGGACCTGCTGCTGCTGCTGCTGCCGGCGCTGCAGGGAGGACAGGTGCAGGAGGGGGGGCGGGGGGTGGGAGCAGGAGGAGGGGCTGGCGCGAGCTACTATGGGAATGTTGTGGGGGTGACGGCAGGAGGTGGGCCTGGAAAGGGGGGGGAAGGGGAGGGAGGAGAGGGGGTGGCGGGGTGGTTGAGGCGAGTGGCGAGCCTGCCGCCACCTAGTGGAGATACTCAAGGTGAGCGTTTTGAGCTTAAAGGTGAGGGTTCGAATCTGGACGGTGGCGGTTAACTTGGAAGGGGAGGGAGGAGAGGGGGTGGCAGGGTGGTTGAGGCGAGTGGAGAGCCTGCCTCCCCTTGTGGAGATTTCAAGGTGAGCGTTTTGAGCTTCAAAGGTCAGGTTCGAGTCTGGAAGTTGCTAGTTTGGAGATTTGGATTTTCTTTTTTTCTTTCTTTCAATCGTGGGTTTCATTGCTGAGTGTGACCATTCCGAATGCTGCAGCTAGAGAAGCTTACGGCCTGAATGCAAGTTGTTGAGTCAGTCACGCGTTGCAGTGAGCCACACATCTGTTTGTTTACAATTCAAGATTCTTCAAGATTCTTGCTCCCCTCCCTCACGGCCCATGTTCTCCAATGCATCCACGTCAGCTGGGGAATGTGGAAGACGAGGATAACCTAGTCAAGCTTGCAGATGCCAAGAGGCTGATCAAGGTATGCTGCTCCCTAGGCATAGTGAAATCACTTCTGAGAATTCTCAAAAAGTGTTTTTAAACATGTTGCTCCCTGGATATAGCTCTGCTTCTTATTATGTCTCTTATAATGCTCCTGTATAAGACAGGAGCTCCTGTATATGACCCTGCATGTGTCAGTGCTCAGTGTCCTATCTGGTATGATCCGTCGTTTCATTCTTTCAACCCATTTGCCGTCGATTCATCTCTGCCGTCAATCCACCTCTGCTGTCGAGCGATCCCTGCCGTCGATCTTTTTCTGTCATCAAACCATCTTTTCCATCATTCAATCTATGCCGTCGATTCGTCCCTACCATCAATCCATCTCCGCCGTCAACCCATCTCTACCGTTGATCCATCCCTTCTTATTCCAATTCTGTGTTTCAGGAGCGGGAGAATGAGCTGCGAAGGGCACTGGCGATACTAGGAGAGGACAGTGAGGAGGACGAGGAGGAGGAGGGAAGGAGAGGGGAGGAGGAGTGAGGGAGGAGAAGGGTGGCATTATCAAACGAGGCTCTTCCAAGCAGTCAGGTGCGTTCCAGGGTTGTGAGAGCGGGAGTGAGTGAGAGAGGGAGCTGCGAAGGGCACTGGCATTCATAGGAGAGGACAGTGAGGAGGATGAGGAGGAGGGGGGGAAGTAAAGAGGGGGAAGGGAGACTGGCACTGTCACACGAGGCTCTTTCATGCAGTCAGGCGCGAGGGGTGGAGACGGATGGGGAAGAATGGAGAGGGTGGGAAATGGGTGGAGAGAATGAGAGAGGGGTGTGAGGAGGTTTGTTTGTTTGTTTTTCTTCCTTTTATCTACTTCTTTCTTTCCTCTTCAGTGCTTGCGTTCCAATTCGTTTGCGTGCCCCAAACAAATCCCCCTCGTTCTCCCCTCTCCTTTGAAAGCAAACCATGATGCTGTGTATGTTTTTCCCCTCTCCTTTGCAAGGCAAGTCGTTTGCGAATTCTCAAAAAACATACATTGCAAGCAAACTATGGTCCTTCCACTCACCTGCGGAGGCTCCTATTGTCTCTTCTTCTCCCCTTTTTTTCTGCTTCACTCACCACCATATTTTCCCGATTTTTCTGCCCAACCCACCAACCTCTCCCTTTCTTTCGTCCTGCCCTCCACCCCCCCCTTTGTTTCTCCCACCCCAGTCTCCCCTTCTGCTTCTGAACCCTCCACAGCCAGTGGCCAGGGCAGAGAGGGGCACCAAGGGGAGGGGGAGGAGGAGGGGGAGGGGGAGGAGGAGGGGGAAGAGGGGGAGGTAGTGGAGGAGGAAGGGGAGGGGAAGAAGCAGGAGGTAAGAGGGGAACAGGAGCAGGGGAAGAGGGAGGTGGGGCGGTCTCAATTGTCTTCTAGCAGCCGGTCCTCTGATGAGGATGATGAGGATGATGATGTCAGCAAGGGGCGCAGTGACGACGATGATGACGTCAGCAAAGGCCGGCGCAGCGGTGCAAGTGGCAGGGGAAGCCCGGGCAGGAAAGAGAAAAAGCCTGAGAGGTGGGCCGGGCAGCCCGAGGGGCAGAAAAAAGCCCAAGAGGGAGGCAGGAGAGTGATGGGAGTGGGAGGAGCGGGGAGAATAGTGAAGGGAGTGAGAGGCCGAGGGGAAGGAGCAGGGAAAGGAGTGTTGATAGTGGGAAGAGTGGGGAGAGGCGGAGTGTGGATAGTGGGGAGGAGTGGGAGGAGTGGGGGGCGAGGGGATAGGAGTGATGATGACGAGAAGGGGAGGGGCAGGAGGGAGATGAAGGGAGGAGGGGAGGAGGGCGGAAGGAAGGCAGCAGCAGGTGGGGCGGCGACAAGGGGGGACAGTAGAGAGAGCAGCGAAAGAAAGAGAGGAGAGCGAGGCGGGAGTGTGAGCAGGCAACAGCGGCAGCCCGAAACGAGCCAGATCCGGAGGAGATAGGGGGGACCCGATCAGGACAGGAGTGCAGCAGCCAACAGGGAAGGAGGGGCAAGGGGTGGGGAGAAAAAAGCCACGGTCCGAAGCTAGTGGAAGGAGGTCGGGAGGGGGGGAAGATGAGGAGGATGAAGTGGATATAGACAGGGATGAGGGCACAAGCCGGGGGTCCCCTGCAGCATCAAGAGGGGACTCTAGGGGAGAGTCTAAGGGGGATTCTAAGGGGGATCCAGGGGGGGTGCTACTAAGGAGGGTCTAGGGCTGGCTCTGGGGTCCCCCCTGGCGGTCGTTCCCCCAGTCACTCCCCTGGTCGCTCTGATGGCGGGTCCTCTTCGGATGAGTCCAAGTAGGGCTGTTCTCTTCTGTTCTATTTTGTTGTGTTGGATTGTCTTGGTTGGCCAATGCATCCGTGTGGGGCACTAGAGCTTGAGATACGGGTATGACAGATCAGGTGCAGCTTTGGCACTTCAGGTGCTGCTTTGGCAATTTAGGAGCTATGGCAGATCAAATGCTTTGGCAGTTCAGGTAATTTGGCAGATCAGGTGCTTTGGTAGTTCAAGTGCTATGGCAAAGCAGGTGCTTTGGCAGTTCAGGTGCTATGGCAGTTCAGGTGGTTTAGGGGAATTTTCAGTGTGAGCCTGATATGAGGTTTGCTTGATACGAGGCATGGGAGCACGCTCTTACACAAATTTAGGGACTACTATCACATGTAAGGACTAGTATCACATGTTCTTCATCACAGATACCACTCATATGCACAAGTTCTAATCTTTAACCCTATTTGCAGTCTATATCCTACATAAATCTACGGTTTTTAGTTGTAGAGAAAGAGCACATTCCAGCAAAAAAGGCGCTGAAAGCATGGAATGCTGAAATGGCGAACCAGCTACGCAACAGCCGAAAAGGAAATGGAGTTGGATGCACTAGTTGACAAGACGAAGCACTCATGCTTTGAGCGCAGCGTACATGGCATCAATGGGCTCCTGCGCACATGGCAATGGGGAGCAAAACCGCAGGGAAAGGATGGATGAGTGCGCAAGTTAGCACAAGCAAGGCAGCACCACGAGCCTCGTGTAACAAAGAGCATGAGCAGCCTCCCGCAATCGTAACTCAAAGCAGGAGCATCTCCTGGTATGGTAGTGCTTGAGCTGGGCATGCACTGGGCGTACTTTGGCCTGTTGTTGGGTGTGGTAATGTCTCTATCCATACAAAGGGCGTGCCATGCCCATACCCAGCGTTACCACCCAGATGTGCTTGTTCACAAGAACGGAAGGTAGGGCGGCTGTAGACGCACCTGGGTAGTACTTGAGCAGCTGAGGCCTCTTCTTCTTGAAGGTGGGAGTGAGGAGGTCTCTTGCTGCATTCGAAGGGCACACTGTCCAGATGCACTCCCTTCACCATCTCAAAGCCCTTGAGCTGCTCCGGGCAAATGGCACGAAGGAGGGGAAGGGAGGTGAGGAGGTGGGGAGGGAGGGAGGGAGCGAGGGGGGTGGGGGAAATGGGGGGGGGGGGCGGGGGGGGGAGAGGGAGGGAGGGAGGGAGGGAGGGAGGGAGGGAGGAAGGGAGGAAGGGAGAGAAGGGGGGGAGGGGGGGAGGGAGAGGGGGAGGGAGGGAGGGAGAGAGGTAGAACTTGAACAAGAGAAGTGAGCAAAAGAGTGAGGGAGATGAGGGTGGGTGTTGGGGGCGCCAAGCCTCGCTCCACATCAACGAGGAATGTTGTCCTCTGGCACTGCATGCATTCATGCATGCATGACGAGGTCTGCACTTGCCCTTCCCTCTTCTCCACATACCCTTCCCCCCCTCTCCCCTTCCCCTGTTCCCCTCCCCCCTCTCCCCTCTCCCCTTCCCCCGTCTCCCCTTGCCCTGTTCCCCCTCCTTTCTTTCCCTCTCAACCCTTCCTCCTCCTGCCTTCCCTCCCATCTCTCCCCCCTTACCTTCTCTCCTCTCTGCCTCCACTCTCCCTTTGCCCATCTCTCTCTTTGCCCATCTCTCTCACCTTGCCCATCCCCCCGTCCCTCACCAGGCCCTTCTTCCCAGTCTCTACAAAGTTTCTCCAGGATGAACTTCTTGGCCTGGGGTGTCTGGCACAGGGCAGCATAGTCGCCCTCCACTCCAGCGCCCTTGGCCCATGCCTCTAGAGCCGCTGGTTCGGCACCACCACCGCCACCAGCACCGCCTCGAAGCTGTTCCCGTACACCCACACCTGATATTGGGGTGGGGGTGGTGCAGTGAGGTGGAAAGGGGCAGAGCGGGTTACAACGGGGTGAGCAGATGTGAGTGGGGTAAAACAGGACTTTAGAGAAGGGAACCACACAGAAATTGATTACAGTTCAATAGTGAGCAAGCAAACCCACCATGACCATAGCGGAGCAGATCATACTATTGCTCCAGGTTCCTTCCCATACTCGTTCTCCAGGACCTCCACAGCCACATGTGAAAGCCAAATCATAACTGAATCTGTAAATTCATTCATACGCATACCATAATGAGTAACTCACCATGTCTATAGCGGAGCAGTTGCCATACACATTCTCCAGGTTCTCGACGGCCACATACTCGCCCTGAGCGAGCTTGAAGATGTTCTTCTTGCGATCCACTATCTTCATTGACCCGTCCGCCTGCCACTCGCCCACGTCCCCTGCTCACAAGCAACGCATGGAAGGATGCACACATGCACACATGAGGTGACTCCTGAGCCGATTCAATAGTCGCTTGAAGATGTTCTTCTGCGATCCACGATCTTCATTGACCCGTCCGCCTGCCACTCGCCCACATCCCCTGCTCACAATGACACACATGAATGGATGCACAAATGCACAGATGTACAATGTCACACTCGCACAATGTCACACACGCACAATGTCACACACACACATGCACATTGCACACATGTTCAATTGTACAGATGCATAGTTGAACACGCACACATACATGCATGCGACCTTGCCTGACCGCCCCATCCTCCTTTGTATCTTCCTTGATCAAAGTCTCCACCTTCCCTATTTACTATCCTCTCTCTAGCACACCTGTACGGAACCATCCCTCATCATCAATCGCCTCCTTGGTCAGTTCATCCCGCTTGTAGAACCCCGTGAACAGAATCGGGCCGCGAAGACATCTCTCGCCTCTCTCTCTTTCACCACCCACACCCTAATGCCCCTCCTCTTTCTCCCACATCCATCTCTCCCCACCCTCTCTCGCACACATACCTGTACCATACGACCGTAATTTTGAACCTTACTTGTATGGAACCATCCCTCATCATCAATCGCCTCCTTGGTCAAATCGTCCCGCTTGTAGTACCCCGAGAACAGAATCGGGCCGCGAAATATCTTCCATAGACTCCACCCACACACACCCCAACGCCCCCCTCCTACCTCCTCCCACCCTCTCTATCGCGCACACACCTGTATGGAACCATCCTTCATCATCAATCGCCTCCTTGGTCAAATCATCCCGCTTGTAGTACCCGAGAACAGAATCAGGCCGCGAAATATCTTCCGTAGATGCCACCCACACACACCCCAACGCCCCCCTCTTACCTCCTCCCACCCTCTCTATCGCGCACACACCTGTATGGAACCATCCCTCATCGTCAATCGCCTCCTTGGTCAGATCATCCCGCTTGTAGTACCCCGAGAACAGAATCGGGCCGCGGAGGCAGATCCTCCCCGCGGGCGGGGAGTGGCGAGGGCGTCATAATTCATGTCAGGCACGGACTCAAGGCGCGTCTCCAGAGTGGGCATGGGGGGGCCCACCGTGCCTGCCTGCTCGATGCCCTCTGTGTACGAGATAAACCCACTGGCGTTGGTTTCGGTGAGACCTGATGGCATTAAGAGGGTATTGAGAGAAGGGGAGAGAGGGATTGAGGGAGTGGGAGGGGGCATGAAAAGGTGGGGAAAGAGAGGGAATGAGGTGAGGGGGCATGAATGGGAGTGGCGAGGGCATCATAGTTCATGTCAGGGACTGACTCGAGGCGCGTCTCCAGAGTGGGCGTGGGCATGCCCACTTAGGGGCATGGGGCATGGTTTGGTTTGAGTGAAGTGTGGTTCGCAGTTCATCCCAGCAAAAGATGCGCGGTGTATCCAGCGCCCGTATTGTGAACCCAATGGTGGCGGTCACCTGCTCATAGTAATCTTGAGGTGAGATTCGTTTTTACTGTTGAGTTGACTTCTGTGTTATATCTAAAAGCGGCTCACCATTTCCTTGGACCACGGGGCAGCACATGGTCATCTTAAGGAACTCCTAGTGTGGGGTGAAGGGGGCAACACCGCACTGCACTACTCTATAAGCCAGTAGGAGCAGCAGGCTCACCATAGCCCTTCTCTTCCCTTCACCTGTCACCATATCTGGCTTGACAGTAATTCACCATATCCTTGCACCACAGGGCAGCACATGGTGATCTTGAGGAACTCCTCCACGTGGGGGGCGAGAGGTGCAGCACCGCATGGCACCACTCTGTAAGCCAGTAAAGAAACTCACCATATCCTTGCACCACGGGGCAGCACATGGTGATCTTGAGGAACTCCTCCACGTGGGGGGCGAGAGGTGCAGCAGAAACTCACCATATCCTTGCACCACAGGGCAGCACATGGTGATCTTGAGGAACTCCTCCACGTGGGGGGCGAGAGGTGCAGCACCGCATGGCACCACTCTGTAAGCCAGTAAAGAAACTCACCATATCCTTGCACCACGGGGCAGCACATGGTGATCTTGAGGAACTCCTCCACGTGGGGGGCGAGAGGTGCAGCACCGCATGGCACCACTCTGTAAGCCAGTAAAGAAACTCACCATATCCTTGCACCACGGGGCAGCACATGGTGATCTTTAGGAACTCCTCCACGTGGGGGGGCGAGAGGTGCAGCACCGGAGCAGATGGCCTTCACCCGCCCTCCCAGCCGCGCCTTGATCTGCACACAGGACACGCGAGGAAGAGACGAGTGAGACAGGTGGGGAGCAGGGAACAAGAGAACGCAGGGAGCGAGAGATGCTTTGAGGATTCTGACAAACAGCAAGGGCATGGGACAGAAGCTCAGAAAACTCCTGTTCAACTGTTATGTGTCTTGGACATGTTCTCATTAGCGACCATTTACCTTGTTGAAGACAATCGCATCTGAGATCGGAGCGGCAAACTGCACGGCCACGCCCGCCCGGATGCGAGCCTGCTTGCGGCTGTATGCCAGGTCAAATAGGAACTTGCTAATGCCCCCTGCTGCTTCTACCTTCGCCTTCACACCTGGCAGGCAGGGAGGGAGATGCAGAGGATGGCGGGAGCAGGGAAAAAGGTGTTAGAGCGGACGGATGAACAGAGAGGAAGGGACGTGAACCTATAGACCAGGTAAAAAGAGGCCTATGCGAAACCGGGAACCCTGAGATGGAGGTGTGATGCAGGTCAGGCCGAGGAGGGGCGAGCCGGCAGCAGTAGTGTGACAGCAGAGGAAGAATATGTTTGATAGCAGTTGTGAGGGGTGAGGGATCAGAGAGGAGGGGAAGGGAGGGGGGAGCGGCATGGGAGCGACCAGCATGGACGCAATCAAAGACGCGAGGCATGCCACAGAAGAAGGGAAAGAAAGAGAGGATAGGGGAGAGGGGAGAGAGGAGAGGGGAGGAGGGGGGAGGGGGGGTGCTGACCAGCGTAAATGCGGTCGAAGATGCGGGGGACGCCACAGAAGAAGGTGGGCCTGAGCTCTGCAATGTCCTCCGTGAGCAACTTGACGTCCTGGAGAGAGGAGGGGAGTGCGGGGAGAGGGGGAGCGAGTGGGGGGAGAGGAGGGGGGGAGGGGAAAGAGAGGCGGGGGAAACAATTCAGCGGAATAGCGAGAGGGGCAGAAGTACATGCAACTTGTTAGTGGATTTACACGGACCCACCATACACATAGAGCCTCCAATACAAGCAGCGAGCACACAGTGCGAGCACAGTAACTGCTGGATTTCTTGCTACGGGATATGAGCGGGGATCACCCCACACGTGCGTGGATGAGGGCTCACCCCACGCCAGAAGCCAATGGCGCCACCGAAGTAGGTGATGAGCTCCTCAGCTGAGCGGTCAAAGATGTGCGCCAGGGGCAGGTAGGAGAGGTACATCTCGTCTTCGCCAAACTGTGAAGGAGGTGGGAAAAAAAACAGGGGGCAAAATGCAGGCCAATATCAGGAACAACAAGCTGCAACCTCGCATCGCAACTAGTATTGCCAGGTTGAATCGGCAGGTATGTAGACGGGCACAAAGGCTGATGCTGTAAGATCGGGGCTAACGCATTTTGCTGTTAAAAACACCGCATGTGCTCCTGTGACTGTATGCAGCTGAGTCTTACGTTGATGTTATTGTATGCAACGAAATCCTTATTCCCGGCAATGGCAGCCAGCAATGCCCTGTGCGTCAAGAGAACTCCCTTGGGCTCGCCAGTGGTGCCTGGGGTGGGAAGAGGGGGGAATTAGGGAGGGCACGCAGGTATGATATGACAGATTGTGAAGACAGATTGTATTGCAAAGCATTAGAACATGAATCTTGTGGACAAGAATCTGGAGTGCACACAGCGATTATAAATGTTAGGCCAAAAAAATGCAACCTGACATGAGCACAACATGATTTGGTTGCAACGGTGGTAGTAGTATCTGTATTGACACAATCAGGCACAAACGGCCATGCCTGAAACTGAGCACGCTACATCCGATGGTGCATCAAGAAGTACCTGAAGTGTACATGATCGTGCAAATATCCTCTGGCTTTGGAGGGATGGGCTCCGCAGAGTTCGACTCGCCCTGAAAACATCCAAAAGAAAGCGACAAGTGGTGTGCGCTGAATTTGCCGTTCCAGCATAGATGATCGTTTCTCCTGCAATGACTGCAATTGTTGACCTAAATGCGCTCTCAGGAATCACTAGATAGACCCCCTAGCTGGTCCACATGTGCTCACTGAAGGAAAATTGGCTGAGTTGGCCGTAACAACCTTAATACCCACAAAACAATCTCACTGAGCAGTACCTCCTTAAGAGCGTCCTCCCATGAAAGCGCCTTGATGCCAAGGTCCTTCAGTGCCTTGCTCGACTCCTCATCCACGGCTCCCATGCTTATAACAGCTGCCAGGAAAGGAACAAAGGAGAACGGAATTTACACATACTCAGTGGTTATGGAGGTTCGTTCAAGGAAGAGCATGTTCGAGATGGTTCGCTGCAAAGTGCGGCTCTATCAGTTTGTCAAAAGACGACACCGGGATAAGAACGACACTCACTCTTTACGTGCTCTGTGCACTTGGGGAGACTCTTGAGAAGCTGCAAACAGGAAGAGAGTCATGGGGTCGAATCAGAACAGATGCACAAATGATGAAAAATAAACCAGCTCACAGCTGAAGATTAGTCACGTGTACAGAGTTTGGAAGCAGTGTCACAGGCATAGATTTTCCAGCTGGTCGGTTCGCACTGGACTTGAGAGCTCACCGCAGGGAGATTGGCAGGCATGACAGCGACCGAAGACACTTCTGCGTGGTTCAAAATGAACTCCACTGCCTCAGGGCCTGCGGATAAGACAGCGGGGACACAGAGGGGATATGATATAGAGGGGATCGAAGTGAAATGATGCAGACATGCGGAAGTAGGTGAACGGAGGATGCTGAGGAGAAGCAGATAACCTTCCTTCTGCGATGCAGAGGAACCTTAAAGCGGACACGTACCGAGGGTGTCATAGAGTGGCACGCAGTGGATCGATTGGCTGTTGCATGCCTGCAAAAGTTACAGACATCTCCAGCACAATATCAGTGAGACTTCAAAGCACAGCTGATTGGGCTACAGCCTCTGAAATCAAGAAACGGAAGCCCGGTGATGTGAACGAACAATGCTTTTTAAATGCGTATGAGAAGCAGGCGCACCTCCATGGTCATGAACCATTCAGGCGAGTTGATCCCATATATGCCAACGCGGCTTTGCTGCACCAAAGAAAAAGAGAAAAGAGACATAATTTCAACATCAGTTGGAGAATAACGACGTTGTTACTATTCTATCGTGACAGCAAACGAAACACAGGAAATATTATATTGAAATGTTGAATCTCCATGGAAAATATGGGCATTTGGTGAAAAGAAGCATCAACATACGGGTTGAAGGCCGTTGAAGCGAAGTGCAGACGCGATCTTCTTGACCGTAGCGCCAACCTCCTCGTACGTTTGCCATTCGTATGGACCCGCCTGAACGGTTTTTCACGTCGAACAGAGTTTTATAACACGAGACTCAACTTCGCAGGTATTGAAGTACAATTACCTGTTGTAGACACTAGCAACAGCGATATAAAAATTGTCGAGTAATTAAGCTGAGTAAATGCTTACCACGCCGTCGACGACTGATCGCTTTCCTAGGAACTTGTTCTTCGCGAATTTCTTGACGGAATTGCTGAGATCATCAAACATTCAAGGTTAGCAAATTGTGCAAGACGACTGACAAGAAAGAGATCCAAGTCGAGAATAAGATGGCCCCAGAGACTGAGATGCTGTACGCGGAGTGCGGTAACAAGATTAGGGGTATTCAGATGATAAAACACAACATTTGGATGGTTGAGACGTACTCGAAAAGCTCCCAGACGGTATTGATGCCTTCCAGCTTGGCATACCCATCCTTGGCGTAGAAACTTTTATACGTTGGTCCTGCATCAGAATAAGAAACCAGGTCCTTCAGTCTGCTAATCAAGATTGACGTTTCCACACTCAGACTGGCGGGGACACTGTGCATAAGTTGCAAGTCCAAGGGATTCACCTTTGGAAAGCACCCCTTCCGACGCTGGAACAGCATCTGCTGTCTTGATCGCCCACTTCATGGTGCCTTCCCCAGCAGGAGTTCCAGCCATGGCTGCAATTTTAGAGCCACTGAAAAAAACACTGCTTGCTAAGGCGAACAGCAGCAAAATCAGCCAGAAACCTCTCAGGTAAGGAAATGCCGGCAGATCAATCGAAGGGGGAGGTTGTGTCTGACGGGCTCGCTCACTGATTGATCGATGACTGACGAAACCTTAAGACCATCAGGTCAGTTGGCGACAAGTTTGGTTGACTGCACCTCGATGGATCTAAGCTTTCCGTTTGAGAAGATACACATTCGCGAACTGGTGTCTACAGTATCTGTTTTCGCAAGGCAGGCGGCCAATCATGTTTGTCGCGCCACGCAAAGTTCCAGGGAGGGAACATTCTCCATCTCCGTCATTCTCAACCTCGACTTGCAGTTGAATAACCTGGAAGGTGTTTCGAAACACTAGAACAACAAAAAATCATCGGCCATTTTCACGTGCATGCAGCTTAGTCTAGGAACTTTATTCAAGTGCATACAATGTTATTGGGCAGGTGGGTACACATTACGCAGCTTAGAAATTTTTTATCGTAAAATTACTCGCTTCCCAAGATTCGATTTTTTTTTTTTTAGATAATGGATATGTACACCGGAAGAACAAACATACATAAGCAATAATAGTCGTAACTGTACCAAGTTTCGTTTTGAATTAGCACAAATAGTCGAGAATATATATGATTTCGGATTACACACTACCATTTTCAGGTGCATGCAACTTAGCAAAGGAGCGATATTCAAGTGCATGCAAGGTGATTGTGCATGTGCAAACGCGTTTCTGGGGTTAAACATTCTTTTCCGTAATTTCACACACTTATCAAGATTTGATTCGAGCTGGCACAAAAGGTCTGAAATATATGCGATTTCGGGCAACGCAAATCGGAATCGGAATGTTTGGCTCTCGATGCTGCATGTTCCGACGTCACTAAGTGCAATGATTGCATTTTTGCCCAATTGCTACTCAAATTTATGCTTCGCACCAACTCTTTTTGAACGAATCTAATGCTAGATCTGTTGTACTGTTGACGGAGATGACGAGTGCTGCGGAAAGGTGTGCAAAAATTAGGAGAGGGTAAAATTGAAATATGCCCGAAAGTTTGTAGATTTTGGCCCTACCAAAATTAATGTTTTGTCGTACATGTATATTGAAATAAGTGGAATATCATGGCATTAATTACGTGTCATTTAATATACATGTATCGTACGGTATATCCTTAATAGCGGTAGGGTTAACTCTCCTAACACTCGGGCAGATTTCTCGAGTTTCGGATTACCATTTCCAACCAATGTACGTCCCATCAGGGTTTGCTGATTTGACCCGCGAAGCATCCGCAACCTGGCGCCAATAGTACAATCGATTTAGTATTAAATTCGTTCAAAAAAAGTTGGTGCGAAGCAGAAATCTGAGTAGGAATTGGGCAAAAATACAATCATTGCACTGAGTGACGTTGGAAAATGCAGCATCGAGAGCCAAACATTCCGATTCCGATTTGCATTGCCCGAAATTGCATCTATTTCATATCTTTTGTGCCAATTCGAATCAAATTTTGGGAAGCGTATAAAATTACATGAGCAATTGTTTAACCTGAGAAACGTGTATTCACCTGCACAATAACCTGGCATGCACTTGAATAGCGCTCCTAGGCTAAGTTGCATGCACCTGAAAATGGCCGGATTACAGAAATCAAAATCGGAATGGTTGGCTCTCGATTCTGCATTTTCCGACGTCACCAGAAGCAATCATTGCATGTTTGCCCAATTTCGACACGAAATTTTGCTTGCCCTAACTCTTCTTGAACGAACTTAAATGCTAGATCGGTTGTACTGTTGATGTGCGTGACGGACGCTGCGCTTGGCAAATCAACAAATTCTTCTTAGGCATGCAGAAATTCGTGTTAAAATTGGGCAAACATGCAATGATTTCTTCTGGTGATGTCAGAAAATGCAGAATCGAGAGCCAACCATTCCGATTTTGCTTTGCGTAATCCAAAATCGCATCTATTCTCCTCTGTTTGTGCTAATTTGAAATAAAGTGCGTGATTTTAATATACCACATTTCTAAGATGCGTAAAGTGTACACACCTGTCCAATAACAGAGCATGCACTTGAATACAGTTCCAAGAATAAATGGCATGCACTTGAAAATTGCCGAAAACACGTGGGTGTCGGGCGAAAGTCCCATCTCTGACTGCCAAGTGTCCCTCCTCTGGAACTTGGGTGACTTTAGTGATGCCTCCAGTACAATCTCCCAACATTCTCCCTAGCTGATTGTTCCAGCCCAAATCCCTACGGAAGTCATGACCAGGCCTGTCGAAGTCCCTGGAACCAACACTTTGAGGCCTAAGCTGTTCGAAGTTTGGCCCTGATTTTCACGAAGGTGATCGTTTTTTAGCCCTTAACGATCACGGGCGAAGGTAATATTCAATACTTGAAATCCGGGCTTCCTACAGAAATGTACGTGAGCTCTAATGGCACAAAGGCAGATGTCAACCTATTACTTAGCAGCGGGAAGGAGTATGCTAACGACTCATCTGCATACCTATAGCAAGGGGGGAAGTGGGGTGGGGAGGGGAGGAGAGGGGTCGTAGGGCAAAACATCGTCAGCAAAGAAGTCGTTTAAACTCGTGTGTACAAACGCAAAGTACTTCCGAGGTGGTCGTTTTTCATGTAGTACTACTAGTGTGAACTGATGGGGCAAATTTTCTCTTCACCACTTTGGGTGTCAGTGTCGCGAGTCCAGTGTGAGTACTTGGAACTGTGAGGAGACGAATTGACTTGAAAATATTTTGCAACTACAGCCATAACATCAACACAAGAAAGTCCTTTTTTGCCTAAGTAGATAGCTTGTGGGAGATTCAGGGAGCTTGTGGGAGATTCAGGGAGGATGAGAGCGGGAGGAGAAGAGTGGCACTTGGGCATCTCGCAGGGCTACTTTACTCCTGATCCGGGAAATCAGGGAAAGGCCCCGAACCAGTCCTTAACGGATCCGGGTTGAGACCCCTATATCTCAAAATCAGCCCGTAAGAAAAACGGGCTTCCCTCGAAACCAACCCTTTGAAATGCCGAAGCTGGCTGGGAGTTCGCCCGGAATGTTCAGGGCATTAAGGAAAAATGCCCTTGAATCGACAGCCTCATGACCAGAATGGATTACTTTGTAGCAGGAACGAGAAGGAAACCAGCCCAGACCCACCGCACTTGAAGTTCGGGGGACTCGTAGTTTTGTTACTTGTAAGGCGCTCTTTAGGGCCCGCATTCCTTGTGTGCAACGCCGTGATTGGCGTTCTTGGATCAACTATCACTCCACAAGACAGTCAGCAGCTAGCGAAATGTCGCAATCTTGCGTCATATCCCATGTCCAACCTGGTACATTTTTTAAGCTTACGACCTCTTATCATAGTCGCAGGCGTCCTACATTTCAAGCGATTAATTCCTTCGACCCACGAATTCCTTGTCGACGACCTCATTCCCCGTCAGGATCGCTACGCCAGTGTCTCAGCCATTCGTTCTCAAATCATACGAACGATCTATTTCATGGACGTCGAAGTCCCTCTAGTGCATTGTCACAGCGCTCACAGTCACACCGTTCGATGCGTCCTGAATCCCACCGTCATCGGACGGCTACACGAGCGTCGTCTACCAGCGGGAATGCTGGTCTAGATCCATCCGTTGAGCACAGCACCATGGTGAATGAGGAGCTGCTGCTCTTCTTCTACCAACTCGATCTGAATACCAGGCTTCAGGTGAGGGGAATTTTCGTTGTTTTATTTCATCAATAGAATTCTCACTTGCTAGCAGCATCACGCTAGAAAAGCAGTCTGCAATGTCGATTTTGCTTGACCAATGTCAATTTTTCACCTGGAAAGAGAATTTTCGATCCTCCTTACTCGTTCCGCAGAAAGCGCTCAACTTGGACCAGTACGAACCTGCTCAACTACTCCGGGAAAAGATTGCGGAGGTAAGACAAATCATGTGGTTCGACTTCTGACTAGTGCTGCTGAAGGTCGCGTATCGTTCTCGCCGAATCCGACTCTTACTCTCGGCCGCCTTTACTCTGATTATCTTGCTGTGGCAGCTTGATCGTGAAATCGCTCGACAGAGAGAAGCAAAGATGGGCACCTCATCCAAAGAAGCAGCTCAAGACAAGGGCTTAGCCTTGTTACGTCTCAAGTAAGAACATTTATCACGAACTTCGTACACCGATTCATCTGTAACATTATCTTGTGCGTTGATGACTATGTCTGCTCCATGATTTCTCTGATTGTTGTCTAATTTAATAGATTATGTGGATCTGGATCCTGGATGCTACTGACAGGGCAGGGCTGCAGCGAGCAGTGGAGCAGGAGCTGTACGAGGAAGCAGCTGAGATCAGAAAGAAAATGAGCCAACTAGAGGTGTGTCCTTTGGTTGCAAAAGTTGTGTCTTCGCAGCAGTGGACCAATTGGGGTGTCAGGAAAGGTCACTGTTTCATTATCTAGCACTAGTTACGCCAAACTATCAAACTTCTGATTTTGTTGTGCTCGCTATTTTCCAGGGTGACACTCTGGCAGCTTCTGCTGCAGCGTTGGCTATGGGCAATGTCACTTACAAGCTCCGGCTAGGGCAGAAAGTTACTCACAAAGAATTTGGTGAGTCTTTGTTAAAAAAAGTGTTTGGTTTGTGTCATTATCTCGACTGTGAATCCCTGGCCAAATTGCTCCCAGTGCTTTCTGCTCTGTTGTGCCTGGATCCAGTCCCTGCTCTGTTAGCCCATCATGTTCTTTCCGCGTCCTTAACTGTTCTCCCAGGCTATCGAGGCATCGTGGCGGGGATGGACCCCATGTGCTGTGAGACGGAGGAGTGGATGTCGGGAGCTAAGATTAGCCGACTTGCGCGGGGTTTGAACCAGCCCTTCTACCAGGTTCGTCTGGACGGTCATGTGTAGTGATGCAACTGCCACCTCGCTCCAGCTTTATATGGCTTGAATCGATCTGTCTGTTGTTCATGTCAGCAGAATGGCTATTAGCCTCATTGCCCTATTTTATCCCCATTTTGCAGATCTTACTTGACTTGGGAAATGGAGCTAGGTTTCCGGTTGCATATGGTGCGTGGGTTTTTTGGTTCTTGGCCAACTCGTGATTGCAGCCTCAATATTCTGTGCTCTAACAGGCGCATCACATAACAAAATACCTTTGTTGGGCTGTTTGGCTGGCAGTTGCAGAGGACCTGCTTGAAGTCCCTGAGGAGCCCGATAAGGTACCTTGTTCCACCCACTCCCTCTCCCTATTAACCTCGGGTCTGTCGTCGTTCCATGCTCTGTTCTGATCTTTCTGCTAACATCCTCATGCCATCCCTTCTCCCTGCAGGAGCAAATGATCCACCCATACCTGTATCTTTTATTTTATGGAGCTGACTCTCGAGGTGACTTCATTCCTTGCAAGCCTCTTCGGGACAAGTACAATGCCCCTCGTCATGAGGTCCCACTTGAAGATGAGACCGACGCTGACAATTTGTGATGTAGTCCACTCCATGTGTGCACCAGTGACAACCATAGCCATCCAGAACACACTTGTTTCAGGTGGATAACAAGTAACGTTTCCACTCATGTGCTCATTGTCCACTGGGGTTACCAGTATGTGAACTAACATATGTACATACATGCAAATACTCAATGTTTATACGTACTCAGCTCACTGGTCAGATAAAAAAATTCAGCATTAGCAGTTTTCAGAAAGTATTCATCTGGCCTCCAAATTCATCTTGACGGTATTCGTGCTGTGCAATCAGCAACAGTTGTGAGTAAATTCACAAGGACAATACTGTTAAATAAATGGGGATATACACAGTTCATGTACAACTTGGAAGACACAAAATGGACCGCAAGGCCTTTCAGGCCATTGCCTATACACTGCCCCATCTAAATGGTGGCTGGAAGCACAGTACGACATGTACAACCCACGAGGTAGGTAGTGTCCAGCATAGTGAGACCATTCGCAACGTATCCACAACAATCTCTATTAACATTGGGCACCAACCGCCTTCGCGTGAGCCCATACGGGATCCACCAACTGCTGGAAATTAAGGCCAGAAGCCAACCATCTTTGGATGCAGGATCGCGTACGAGGTGAGACAAGATACGAGACCACTTCAAGCTGAAACCCACCACGAGTCGCCAAGCATGTTACGCCGAGCAGTATCAATGCGGCAGGACATAGATTTCACGGTGGATTGAAACCCGTGGCCCTCGTTGGATAACGAAGATGATCCGTCAGCGAGACTCCGTCTCATCAAGGACGACACCTGCTGCGATGAAGCCGTCGATTCCGAAAGACTGCGGTTGCTCATGTGAACAAAGATCATGGTGACGTCTTGTGTCTCCGCCATGATTGTGAAGTTAGCGTGAAAAAGGGTGACGCTTAGGAAGGATGACCTCGCAAAACGGGCGAATCGAGCAAAACGACGTTGAAGACGGTGAGCAGCAAAAGGTGACGGCTTCTGAGCGGACGAAGATATGAGAAGTTAGATGATCAGTGGGCTATGCTTCACATCAGTTTAGGTTCAATATGTAATGGAGTGGAGCGTGCACAGAACGGTAGGTACAATATTTTCAGGTGCTTTGGTTGAACAACAGGGGTGTGCGTGCGTGTTCGAGACTCGTTGTGAGGGGTGAGGTTTGGCGGAGAACGAAGGGGAAGGAAACGTGTAAACGGTGGGATGTGTGGGGACCACCGCCGATGGGACCACGCGGAATCTCCGCGAGTTCATGCGCTGTTTGGGGTGGGGGTTGGCTCAATCTGCCACGCCATCGTACCGCGTCGATGTCGATGACGAGTAGCCGAGTGGAAAGAAGGGAAATGGAAGGCTGTGGGTGCTGCTGACGGCAGGATCAGGCTG